GGGAAGTGGATTCCCTCTACACTGGCTGACGGTGGGGGGAGGAGCACCGGGAAGTGGATTCCCTCTACACTGGCTGACCGGTGGGGGGAGGAGCACCGGGAAGTGGATTCCCTCTACAAGGGCTGACGGTGGGGGGAGGAGCACAGTGAGGAAGCAGCTGCACTGGCTCTGGTCAGAGCTGAAGGTGGCCGGGGCTCAACTCTGGAGGGTTTTAAGGTAGAAACTTCTGGGCTGCTAACTCGAGTTGAGGCCCCTGTCACCAGCCTTTTTACAGGCCCTCCACCTCTCCCACACGTGGGCTGTCTGCATGCCCCTGGACTGTCCTCAAAAAAACGTGAATAGCCTTACTGCTGGTTTTCAGACTTTGAAGGCAGCACAGAATCATTTCACAGATCACACACATACATTCAGATAATACACAGAATTATAAAGAAAAAAATCAACAAAAGAAAAATCCTATCAACTACAATCAACCTTAGAGTACATTCTATCAGACTTTACAACAGATATAGCATGTACTAACACATATTATATATACATACACACACACACACATTTGCACACAAAACTAGGATGACATATTTTTAGATGTGTTTTATAAGCAGTTTTACAACATGCTTTCTTGTCATATATCCAATATATCATGGACATCTCCAGAGGATAACAAACAAGCAGGAGCACAACAGGACTGTCACTCCCCAGGGATGTGAGAAAGCACAGTGAAGAGCACTGAGGCTGAGGGTGAATGTGTCCCTCGCCGTGTGCCCACAGCGCCTCCAGCCCCATCACAGCAGAACACGGCCACATGAGCCCTGCTGTCTCTGTGCATCTCCCCTACTGCACTTAAGTTATCAGAAGCCCAATCTGGGCCCATGCCCAGCCCACGGTAGGGCCTACGGATGGACCCCAGGTTAGAACATCTGGACTCCTCAATCAGACCCCAGCCAAAGCCTCCATGGACCAGCTGCGAGCCCACAGCTGGTGGATGAGCCTCCCCACCCTGGCCTGAGAAGGGGAGATCCTGAAATCGCCCTTGCAGAGAAGCAAACTCAGAATGAAAACGAACCCAACAGTTGACCTAGCCTGAGGAACAGAACAGAAGCTCAATAGAGGCAGTTACCATTATCATTACAAATCACCAAATGTTTTATGAAAAAGAAGTCAGTGAATAAATGAATGAATGATGAGTACAGGAAGAAACAAATGGGTGAATAAGAGGGAATGAGTGCAGAATGACATAAGCGGGGGACGAGGTGGACGAAACAGGGAGTAAGGGAGGGGTGCGGGAGGATCACAGGGAGGCTGCCAAAAGGGGCCCTCTGAGTCCAACCCCACTCACGTGCTGATTGTCCTCGATCTCTTGCAGGGCCTTTATCTCCCGCAGGGCCTGGTTGGGGATGCCATCCTCCAGCCGCCGCAGAGCCACCTTCTTGAGCGCCACGATCTCTCCAGTCTGCGGGACAGAACTCAGACACTGCCACCCGTCCAGGGCTGGGGAAGGGGGTGCGCCGACGGGGCAGGCGCCATCTGGGGGGACGCAGAGGCCCGAGGTCCTCTTGGGGGTGGGAAGCGCCCCCACCCCGTTCTGGAGGGAAATCAGGTTCAGCCTGGGAGCCAGCTGTTGCAGAGCTGCGCGAACAGCTCCGAGACTCTGACGCCACGCTCCTTGGGGCACTCGCGGGACGACTGCGGTGGCATCGCGGGTGGGTGGGCATCTGACCGCAACCTGGGCGACCCCCACTGAAGGGGGTCAAAGTGGTGGGCGCACACCACGAAGCGGGGCGGGGAGGCGGGCGCGGCGGTGCAGACGTGGGCACGGAAAACGGGAGTGGGGGGGTTTTCTCTCGACCAGGAACGGCTGGAAGCGAAGGCAGGCCTGCGCGCCGCCCCGCATCCGGGCTCACCTCCACGTGCTTGGCCTTAAAGACGATACCGTGCGCGCCCTCCCCGATGCGGCCCAGGATGCAGTACTGGTCCATGCCCGCTGCGCCGCAGGCCCCGCCCCTCCCCGCTGGCCCGACGCGGCTGCCTAGCAACGGGCTGTCTCTCAGCGCCCGGCCGAGCGGCCGGCAGCAGCTGCGGACAGCGTCCGGGCCTCGTCTACGCCTTCACCGGTTCCCCGCGGCCAGGCCGCAGCCCACGCCATTCGGGGGAAGCCATCGTGCGCGGAGGGCGCCGGCACCGGGGCGGCGGAACAATGGCGCCCGGCGCCCCCTCCCCGCTCCTCCCAGACGTCACGTGACCAGCGACGCCGGGACACGCAGCGGGGGGCGTGGCCGCGCTTCCTGGGGTAGGGCTTCGCGGCCAGGTGGGCGGGGAGGGGCGGGGCCGGGATAGGCGGGCCTCGCAGGTGGGAGGGCGGGGCTGCGCGTCTGGGCGGGGCCTCCTGTAGAGGCGAGGACAGCTCCGTCCCAGCAGGCCAGGCTCCCCACCTGTAGCTGGTCAATGCCAGCTTCAAGGACACGCTGGAGCCAATGATGATGGGACCCCGGTCCAGGGCCAGGTTGTGGAGGGAGCGTCAGTGGGGCCTCCCTTCTGGAAGGTCGGTTGGCAACACATAGAGACATTTTTTTAAAAAGTTCAAACTGACCAGAAGTGCATGTCTAAGGCTTCTCTTGAGGTAACATTTGGAGGAATTTGCATGAGTGATTCTGAAGAACTGCATACCATCAAAGAATGTTGACAAAAAACACAAGTTGCTCTTAAACCCCTGAAAAGATGCTCAATCTTACACACAAGATAAATGCAAAATAATCTACAATTTTCTGCCTATGAAATGACTGACGATCCCACATCTAAGTCCATTAACCAGGCTATGGGAAAAAAGGAGCTTTTATACATTGCTGGTGGGAGTGTAACTTGGCAATGCTGACACGTTACAGATGCATATCCCTGGACTCAGCAAGTCCACTTCTAGAAATACCCCAACAGATATACTGCACACATGTGAGATGACCTGTGCAAAGTTACTCATTGCAGCATTGTGTGAACAGCAAAAAATTGAAAACACCACAGATGTCCATCAGTAGAAGACTGCCTAAATGGTGGTACACCCATCCAGTGGAATATGTGAACTGATGCTCTTTTATGTGCAGTAATAAGACTTCTAAGATATGTTTAGTTAAAAAGGCAAGATGCAGAACAGAGCATACAGTGTGCCCCTAGCTGTGTAAAGAAAAGAAAAAAATCTAATGTCTATTCATCCATTACAATATATCTGCAAAGATACTCAAGATTTCATAATTGCAGTTACCTGGTGAGGGACTGGAATGACTGGGGACAGGGTAGGAAGTAAACTTTTCACCGGACCTTTGTATTCTTTGAGTTTTGAATCATATCATTTATTAATTTTTCAAAAAGGTAAATATTTTCTAGTTCAGAAGTTCCACCTTTGTTTTTTTTAATATTTTATTTATTTATTTGACACAGAGAGAGACAGCGAGAGAGGGAACACAAGCAGGAGGAGTGGGAGAGGGAGAAGCAGGCTTCCCGCTGAGCAGGAAGCCTGATGTGGGGCTGGATCCCAGGACCCTGGGATCATGACCTGAGCCGAAGGCAGACTAAACTGCATGACTGAGCCACCCAGGCAACCGAGGTTCCACCTTTATTTTAAAAAATTGCAGAAGAATGCCTTGATGTCCATACAAAGATGTTCACCCTGTTTGATGATAGCAGAGGCTGGAAAATAACCCAAATATCCCATGGAAGAATGGGTAGATAAGTTATGGGAGTGCCTTAGAATGGAATATTTTATAGCTATTACAAATGGTGAGGAAAAGGATGTGGCATGGGAAAAGGATGGTCTTCAAAAAACAGTACTGGGTCACTTGAAAGGTCATATGAAGAAAAAAATGTGTATTGACCCAAACCTCACACCATACACAAAAACTGATTCCAGATGGAGTGCAAAACTAAATATGGAAGGTAAACAATGAAGTTTTAGAAGAAAAGAGAGAATCTTAATGACTTTGGGTTAGGTAAGATTTTTCTTAAAGAGATTATGGAAAGCACTAAAGGGAAACTGAAAGCACTAAAATGAGAAATTGGACTTTATCAATATAGTAAGAACATCTGTCCTTCAAAAGACACCACTAGAAAGTGAAAAGGAAAGCCACAGAAAGGGAGAAGATACCGAAATACATATATATGACTAAGGCTCCTATCTAAAACTAATAAAGAACTTTTATAAAATAATTAAGAAGCAGACAACCTTACCAGAAAAATGGGCAAAACCTGGAGTAGGCACTTCACAAAAGGCAATACCCAAATAGCCAATAAGTGTTTGACAAGGTCTGTGCTAACTTCACTGGTCATCAGGAAATTTCAAATTAAAAACATAATTTTACTGGGGCGCCTGGGTGGCTCAGTCGGTTGAACGTCTGACTCTTAGTTTCAGTTCAGGTCATGATCTCAAGGCCGTGGGATTGAGCCCAGCATCAGACTCCATGCTCAACAAGGAGTCTGCTTGTCCCTCTCCTTCCCTCCACTCATGCTGTCTCTCAAAAATAAATAAATAAAATCTTTAAAAAACTCATAATTTTACTGTAACCACCCAGAATCATTTAAATGAAAAAGATAGACAATACCAAATGCTGGCAAAGATGTAGAGCAGCCAGAATTCTCATACACTGCTGATGTGAGAGCAAGTTCAGACAACCACTTTGAACACTGTTTGATGCTATCTTTTCAAACTCATGTGGAAATTTTACATATTTATAGATAGATGATAGATACACACACACACATATATATATAATCTAGTAATTCCATCCCTAGGAATTTAACTTGGCAGAAGTGCGTATAAGTGAGTTCCCGAAGGACATACAGGTTCATAGCAGCACTCGTTAATAGACTAACCTGGAAACAACCCAAATGTCTACAGTAGAATGGATAAATAAACTGAAATATTTCCCCAATGGAGTACTACACAGTAATAAGAATGAAGAAAGCATCACCACTGGCAACAACATGGATGAATCATAAACACAATGTTGAGGGAAGAAGCTAGACACAAAAGAATGTAAAATGGTGTAACCACTGTGGAAAACAGCATGGTGGTTCCTCGAAAATTAAAAATAGAATTTCCATATGATCTAGCAAATCTACTTTTGGGTATCTATCCAAAAGAATTGAAAGTGGGATCTTGAAGAGATAGTTGTACTCCTATTTTTATATCAGCGTTATTTACAACAGCCAAGAGGAGGAAGCAACCCAGGTGTTGATGGCAACATATGAATAGATTTTAAAATGTGGTATATATGTACAATAGAATATTATTTATCCTTAAAAAGGGAGGAAATTCTGAAACATGTTACAGCATGGATGGACCTTGAGGACATTATGCTAAGTGAAATAAGCCAGTCACAAAAAGACAAATACTGTAGGATTCCACTTATATTCATAGTGGAATTCATAGAAATAGAAAGTAGACTGGTCAGTGCTAGGGGCTGGAAGGGAGTGGGGTGAGGAAAATAGGGAGTTATTGTTTAACAGGTATAGCATTTCAATTTTGCCAAATGAAAAGTTCTGGATATTGGTTGCCCAGCAATATAAATATACTTAATACTACTGAACTTTACACTTAAAAATGGTTCAAAAAACAAAAGAAATTATTCAGATGGTAAATTGTATATTTGTTTTTTCTCCACAATAAAATTTTTTAAATTAAAAATCTAAAAAGAAATGAATGGAGTGGGGCGCCTGGGTGGCTCAGTCGGTTACGCATCTACCTTCGGCTCAGGTCCTGGTCCCAGGGTCCTGGGATCGAGCCCCACATTGGGCTCCCTGCTCAGTGGGGAGTCCGCTCCTGTCTCTCCCTCTGCCTCCCCCCTCATGCTCTCTCTCTCATGCTCTCTTTCTCTCTCAAATAAATAAAATCTTAAAAAAAAAAAAAGAATGGAGTATGAGGGACCTGTAGGACAATAATAGTGCCTCTAACATTTAGGAGAGGAGAAAGAGCACAGGGCTGAAAAAACAGAATAAATAATGACAGAAAGCTTCACAAATTTGGGGGGAAGATAATGTAGAGATTTTAGAAGCTGAGTGAACCCCAAACAGAATAAACTCAAAGAGATCCATGCCCAGAAGCATCATAATCAAATTTCTGGACACTAAAGGGAAAAGAACACTTGAAAGTATCCATAGAGAGATGATACATTGCCCACCCAGAGTACAATGTCCCCAGTGGCTGTGATTTCTCACCAGAAGCCACAGAGGCCAGAGAAGTGGCACCATGTTTTTCAGGTGAATTCCATATCCAGTGAGAAAATCCATCAGAAATGAAAGGGAAATGAAGATGTTCTCAAAGGAAGGAAAACAGAGATTTTTGTGGTTAACAGACCTCACCTAGAGGAACTGCTAAAGGAAGTCCTTGAGACAGAAGGGAAATGATAACAGAAGAAAGCAGGGAATGTTGGGAGTGAAAAAGAAGAGTAGAATGGGTTAATATTTGGTGAATATAATAGATTCTTCTCCACTTGGGTTTTAAAAATTGATATTTGAAAGCAAAAATTATAGCATTGCTTGAAGTGGTTCTCAAAGTAGTCACAGACAATATTGAAAAGGAAAAGGAAAAAGTGCTTAAAAAAAAATAGTTCACAGGAGCCAACCGGAAGAGCTCCCAAAGGCCAACGCTGTAACTGTTTGACCAACGAAATAAATAATGTGGTTTTGGATTATAGCCCCAAGTATAAAGTAAATGTCCATGGGTCCATAGTAATATAAATAAATGATTGAATAAATAAACAGATGGAGGATAATGGAAAGTACCTTATGCAGGAGAAATAATTTAGGTAGATACTCTGATCTCGGAGGTGCCGCATGACTCCCCACTCCTTAGCGGGTGGTACATTTTGTCTTCCTGGCAAAGAGGACATAAGTTGTGCTGATGGTACGTATCACTGATAGGTGGAGAGAATAGAAATTTACCTCTGTGGTCTCCGCCCACCAACCCCCCCAGCAACCCCATAATTTCCATGTAACCATGAGAAAAA